AAATTCTGAATATTGTGTTTATAAATTTTAATATTGTAAATTTTTTTAAATAATCCAATTCACTCATCCTCTTAGGTTACCTACTTGAGATAACAAATTTGTGGTGATTGAGAATTAAGATAGCGTTATGATGATGTTAATAATTTTTGTATAATATATCAAACAGGTCATGACTCCTAGAAATTATAGTTATAAACATAAAAAAAGAAACAAAGAATAGAAGACTTATTTCACTTTTTATTTAATACTTTAGCTTTGTAATATTTTTTTAGAAGGATTAAGACAATATAATTTTCTATAGTAGTATACGACCTTCAAAACACACAGTGACAAAAATACCCCTACTACATGTTTCAGGTAACATTTATTACTTTTTAAATTCATTTGAAAATTTCAAAATTCTATTACTTTTGATCTAAATTTCTATTTTCTTTTTTAATGAAATTTATATTTTTGAAGTTATTTCATTGAGATTTATGAAACAAAATCCATTATCAATACAAAATTCTAAAAATAATAAAAATAACGAAATTTCACTGACATAAGACAGTACAATTTCATAAACGGTGAAATTTCGATGACCACTTTTCGGTGACCATCAACAATTCTTTTCCTAGTAACTTTCCAGTGAAATTTTCATTGTTTGCAAATATAAAATTTTCAAATAAACCTTTGAGCCCTAGCTATAAACAGAGAAATTATCTACGATAAGTCAATCCAACAAAACTCAAAATAACACACATTGAAATCTAAAAAGCACGGAGCATTTTCTATTTGTTAAATATTTCGTACTTTGCTAAGATATTTCATGTAGTACAATTGAATAACGTGTCTAATTCATATATCTAATTCAGAAAAATTTACAAATCATAAATACATCGCACACTAACTTTTTAACTTAAATTCACTTGAAAATGCAAAGCACAAAAACACATTAAGCTGCAAAAAAAACACAGAAAAATTCCTATTTACTAAGGCTCTGTTTGTTTGTATTCTCAAATCAATTTTCTACGTGTGTTTTGGAGCATGATGTTTGGTTACGTTTTCAAATCAATTTTCTACACTCTCTGCAGAGAACTCTGTGCACACAGGCGTGTTTTCTGTCCAAATGAAGACCACCCGGTAGACCACCCAGATGTCCACCCGGTAGACCACCCGGATGTCCACCCGGACGTCCGGCTGATTTCCAGATTTTTTTTTTTTTTTTTGCAATTACCATTAAGTTGTCCAATCAATATATATAATTCAGAAAAATTTATAAATCATAAACATATTACACATTTCAGTTTCTAACTTCAAAGCAAAACACAACAAATACAGAGAAATTTTTCTTCGTCAAATTTAATCACTAAAAATTATTTTTTTACATCAATATATATAGTAAAAGCTTCAATCACCATCAAATGGCAAAGAAGATATTAATAAGTTACAAAATACATACATTCCAACAAAATTCTTAGAACAGTGAAATCGAATTAACAATGAACACCTCCAATGCAAATGAAAGAACTAAATTGATGGAAAATTCTACAAAATCAGCGCTATATCGAACTTGAATAAACCTTCCAAACAAAAACCTCATAGATTGAGAGCAAAATAGCAATATCTAAACAAAATCCAATCACAATCTTCATTGAAACTGGAAGCAAAATTGTCAAACTAATCTCAGTATATATTATAAATAGGGAAAAATAAAAAAAAAATTATTTAGAAAAAAAAGGGGCAAACGGACCTAAACTCAATGAGGGATCTTAACTAAGGAAAAATATCTTGAACCTTTCCTACTACTCAAATTATAGCAGGGATGTATAGCTAATTTCCCTATATTTTTGTCATTTTTGTTATTGTAAACTTTGTTACATTTTAAAGTTAATGATGTATTACAGATTCGTGTATTAAAATAAGATTGGATAAATTACAGTTTATCCCATTATGTTTGACTATTTTACCACTTTGTCACTTAAAATTTGTTTTGTTTTGTTTTGTTTTTTTTTTTTGTTTCCACCTTGGCTCTTTATATTTGAAGCTTTTTTCAATTTACTTTAAAAACTATCTTATATCCAAAATTAGAAAACAAATTATACATTAATGGTTATGTGACATAATAATATTTTATTATATGAAAGTCGGATACAAATGCAAACTTTAATATAATAATATATATTTATATATTATTTAGCAGTTAAGCGACATTTTTTGTTTAATTTTAAATAGAAATTAGCTTTAAGAAAAAATTAAAACATAATAAAAAGTCGATGTGAGGAAAAAAAAAATTATGCCAAAATAAAAAAAGGGTCATTTTTCTAAAAGTCCTCTTCCTAATTGTTATATTCCATTTAACTCATCTTCTTTTTTAATATTCCATTAGGTCATATTTAGAATAATAGGACTAAATCACCCTTCTAATTTTTTGTGCATGTGCCCCTCATTCTACGGAGAAAATCTCTTATTATTCCAGGGAGAATCTCTACATTTGAGGGATAAAATATTTTCCTTATTCCATAAAGAAAATATTTCCCTTATTATATAGAGAAAATCTCTCCTTTATTTCATAGAAAAAATCTCTTACATTCTTAAAACCTTAAATCATCTATCTTTTGAAAATTTCTCACTAAATGTTAATATGAATTTTCATATTACAAGTGTATACTGATAAATAATATTCCCTTATAGAACCATACACTGTGAATATTCACATTGTTTGTGCTAGTATAACTATTTTTTAATGTGAATATTAACATTAATTGTGATTTGTTGTAATGCATTGTTAATGTTGTCATGTTGCTTTGATATTATAAATACAATGTGAACTTTCACATTGTTGATAATTGTTTGTTATTATGTGCATATAACCATTGACTTAGGCTCCATTTGGCAAGAGCTAAACGGGACTTTTTTGGCTATTTTAGCCACAAAAGATAAAATAGGCTATTTTAGCCACAAAAAATAAAATGTCACATCCAACCCATAATCATTACATCCTTCTCTCACAAAAAATGTCAAAAAAGCCAAAAAGCCAAAAAGTCCTTCCCAAACCAAACTTTTTAGCCCAAGCTAAAATAGTCAAAAAAGTCAAAAAGCCAAAAAGCCAACCCACTTCCCAAACAGAGGCTTAGTGTGTATTGTAGTAAATGCAATGTTAATGTGAACATTCCTATATCTCTATGTTATATTATTAAGATACATAATATGTTGTGACCAAAATATCATATTCTTATTTGCTTGTATGACTATTTCAATGTGAATATTAATATTCATTAAAGATGTGATAGTCACAACATCAATGTGAGATGTTACACCACGTAAAAATCATGAAAGTCATACAATAATCAGTGATATGTAAATGCGAGCATTCTCATTATGCAATAATCATGCAAACATCACATGTTTCTAATGTTGAAATTCAAATCACCAAATGCAAAACATTAAAATCTGATAATTTACAACGAAAATGACTTCAATGGATGTGTACATTCACATTTACAAAAAATACCTGATCAATAAGCATACATATACACGGATATATAATACCATATCAATCCATCTCGAAAAAAAAGGTCGAATCAAACTTTAATAAATTATTGAACAATTCTGAACATCCATCCCTACCAACGCATACCTATATATAGTTGCAAAAAAAAAAAGAAAAAAAAAGGTGCTAACCTTGCCTCTATGATATTTGAATGGAAGAAAATAAAGTTTTCGAACTATAATAATGAAAAAACATAGAGTTTCGAAGAGTAACAATTGAAGAACACAAAGTTTGGAACTACAACAATGAAAAAATGATGATGATGAGCTCCTTTATGGATTTGTTCTATTTTGTTTCTTTCTTTGATGATCATCATTCAATTCATCTCCTTGAGTTTTTGTTGTTTTGTGAATTTTCCCAACTCTCAAATGGGCAAGGTAAACAGAGAGAGAGAGAGGAAATTTCTGTGTTGCAAGATTCTTTTTCAATCATGTGTTGTTGTCAATATTATAATTTAATAATATATATTTAGGTTTTAAAGAAACCTATCCCGCTAATTTTAAAACTGTCAAAACAAAAAAAGGAAACCAAAAAAAAAAAAAAAAAGAAAAAGAATTGTGTGTAATCCATACTATAAAAAATAGAACAAAAGGTATATTAGTTCTAAAAATATTATAAATAAGGAAAAAATAATCCCCTAAGATACAAGTCTAAATATATAGGACTAATCATAAGAAATTTTTATGAACTTATTGAATTATAAATCTTCCAAATGAGATTTATAAATAAATCACTTTAAAAAATCAACTAAGGCCTCGTTTGGGAACAGGCTAATTTAGTAATTTTTTGGCTATTTAGCTAAAAAGGTAGGTAAAAAAAACTTGAATAATGCTTGGGACCCCCTTTTGGGGGTCACCCCCTCACCCCCTTTGCCACGTGGCAGGGGGTGATTGGTGGAGCAGGAAAAAAAAGAAAAAGAAAAAGAAAAGATGACCAATGAGAGAGAGAGGGGGTCAAAGGGGGTGATGGGAAAAGGGGGGATGAATCATTACTCAAAAAACTTGTATGTTTGGGATGACTTTTTGGCTAATTACGAAAAGATGTGCAAAAAGTAGAGAGAAAAGAGAATCTTTGACTTTTTGGTATGAGTTGTTGACTTTTGGCTAATTTAGTAACTTTTTAGCTAATTAGCTAAAATAACCTCTTGCCAAACGAGGCCTAAATATAAAAAGGATGAAATGTAATTTACGTAATGAAATTTTATCTTCCAATCATAATATGAAAAAAGATTTGGACCCATGCGGGTCACCCCCACAACCTCTTTTGCTTTTGATTGATCCATATTTTTTATTTATTTTTTTCTTTTTTCTTCTCGCCTAATCACCAACCCCACGTGGGGGGAGTGAAATTTTAAGGGGGTGTCAATGTGACGAGGACTAAATCGCAATATTTAAGCCATATTCCGACTTTTTCCCGCCAATTTTGTCTTTCCCCCCAATTTTCCATCAGTTCATTTCCCGCCATTGCCAACACTACTTCTTCCCTCCAATACTCTCTCTCTCTCTCTCTCTCTCTTTCTGGTATTGAAACCCTAGTTTCAGAGCTCCGAAGCAAGAACAAGCCAGTCATGGAAGCAAAGCTTCGCACCAAGAATCAGAACCAATATTCACTCTCCAAACCCTTCACAGGCATCTTCACTCGTAGCAAGGCTCAGATCTACGTCCATCGCACCCGATCTGGCCAAGCTCGATCTGACGCCATTCGAAAGCGCCACCACCATCTCGACCTCCATTCCTCCCAATCAACCCCCAGAAAACGCAGAGCACAGAGCGAACAGCACGAAGCTTCTGATATCGACAATATATCTCAAATCTCCATCAAGGATCTTCGAGCGAGGAGGGTTTTCTCTCCTGCTGCGATCGTCAATAACGAGTGTTGTTCAAATGGGAGTTTCGGAGATTTGAAAGATTCGAATATTAGTGACTCTGATTCGGGTGAGATAAAGTTGTCTCAGATGAAAGCGCAGGTTGAGAAATTTGATTTAGGGTTTTGTGGAAAACCTAATTTGCAATCAGTAATTGATCATGGTTGTGCTGATAGAGGTGATGCTGATGGAGCATTTTTGGGCGGTGTAGAGCCGGTGGAGGATGGATGGAAAGACAAATTTGAGGAGGGGTTTAGTTGCAGAGCAAATGATTTAGATGCTGCAAACCCTAATTTTTTGGAGATAAGAGGGGAAGGTGGAGTGTGTGATGTGGAACAGAGAAGTGATGATGGTAAAGTTGAGAATTTGACTGAAGAATGCATTCAGATGACACCACCTGATGCCGGCATGTCCAGTGAGCCAAATCTGAATGAAAATACTGGAAATGGGGACAGAAATGGTGACATTTCAAAGGGAACTGCTTGCGGTAATGATAGTATTGATCAGAGAAACCACTCCATCTCTAAGAATAAATTGGTAAGAGATTGTCCATCTCTTGAGTTTTTGATTCCTAGTTTTTACTTGAAGTACATAAATTGATTGCTTAGAGAATCTCCAACCCTTGACCCCTTTTTTTTCCCATTAAATTTGTTGAAGGATTTAGACCAAAAGCTTGATTTGAAATAACACATTCCAACTGCGATAATCAAATTTTTCATCATATCTTTTTAAAAGTAGCTAACCTATCCCAAATACGTCCTTTAACCAATTCAGGTGGGAATAAAAAAACCATCTCCAATCCTTCATCTTTTAAAATTTTGGGCAAATTATACATGCAGTCACTTCATTTTGTTGCTTGTGTCATTTTGGTCCTATAGTTTCAATTTTGACTCTTAATTTTAGATTTTGCCTCAATTTGGTTAAATTAATAGTGCTGTTAGGGTGTTTAACTGAGAATGATCACTGATTTGCTTGATGTTAAGCTACAGAATTGATCAAGTTTACAATTTTGCTTCTAAAAGCATGACACATGCTACTAATGTGCATATTTTTTTATAAAAAAATTTCTAACAATTGGAATCAATCAGACCAATTTGAGATCAATTCAAAAATTTAGGGTTAAAATTGAGCTAATTGAAATTATAGGGACTAAAATCACGTAAGGGTCAAAGTATAGGGACTAGCTGTGTAATTGCCCGTAAGTTTTATTTATTTATTTATTTATCAAACTTTAGTGAAAAAAATGATGTTGGAAATTGGGTGAAAGATTTGATTCATATCTTATTTGATGAAACCTTTGGTGAAACTTGATTTGATACAAGTTTGATGAAAGGATTGAATATCATTTTTACCAAATTTCTCGTCAAATTTAAATTTGACGAAGGATTTGGTGAAGAATTGCAGATGCTCTTCTAGTAATGCTTGCGATAAGAACATTTGCCTATATGAGTATGTTTTGTTGGGAGAGATAAAAAATGATCTCTATTAATGTAAGTTGTCCGTTTGAGTTTGTGGTGTAGGTTCTTTATTCGCATACTCAACCGAAGGTGTTCAAAACCCCAAGCTCATTCAGCTATAGGAGATTGTTACCTTTTCTCACGGATATTGCGAAAGTTGATCCCTGTAACTCCTTGTTCATCATTATCTATCTTTTAATTTTTGTTTTCCTGAAATTTTATGAGCATGAGACTATTTGGTTCACTTGCAGCTACAGTGCATCGAAACTGATTTTTGAGTTTTCTTTCCCCATAGGTGTTTCAAAAATTGAGGAATCTGGTTTAGGAGTTTCTTGTAAAGATCAGAGATTAAATGGTGCAAAGCCTAAATTCTCTTCCATCATGGGCAATTGTTGTTCTCCTAAAGATGAAAATGGAGGCGCATATTCTGATAGAAGAAAGCCATCGGAGAATGGAGAAATAAAGAACTTAGATACTGAATTGTCTTGTAAAGCTCAGAATTGGGATCACCCTCATATGTCTGAGGCTGAAGGGAACACTCAACTGCATAATGTAGATCAGAGGAGCAATGAGGATGGCAACTTTCCTAATGGAGTTGATGAACTGATTGAAGATATTCAGATGACACCACCTGATGTTGACATCTTCAGTAAACCCGAGGTTAATGATAACAGAGGAAATAATGAAGACATTGATTTACATACCGAGGATCATATTTTGGGGAAGGTAATGAAAGGGAGTTTCAGCAGAAACGACATTATTGCTTGCGAGGGTTATTGCAAAAATGTCAATCGGAAGAATGACTGTAATTTGAAGAGTAATTTGGTGAGAAATTATGAATCCCTGAATTTTTTGTTTACCATTTAATCAAAGATTTATGGATTTTTTTGCTTATTTTCCGATTAATTTGGAATGAAGATTTTGTTTTCATACGCTCTATGATGTGACTGAAAATTATCTCTTTCTAAAGTAAGTTGTCTCTGCAATTTTGTTGTAGATTCTTAATCCACGTTCACGGCTGAAGGTATTCAAAACTCCAAGCTCATTCAGCTATAGAAGATTGCTTCCGTTTCTGATGGATATTAGAAATAATGATTCTTATAATTCCTCTGGTAATTTTTATCGAGCTTTTCTTTTCCAATTTTTCACTCTGCAGATTATTTTGTTAATGTGGATTCATAATGCTCAGAAGCTGACCTCGTTTATACTAATTTTTTTCTCTGGTAGATGCCTCCAAATGTACTCAATCTCCAAAAGCCGAGAATGTTTCAGAGGAAAAGATACACTTACCTGCGTCAGCTTCACATTGTCAAGGAGTCCCCATGGAGATATCTAAAACAGATTATTCTCCCACAGTGCATCACACTGGTGATTCAAAGCTGAACCCCCCAGCTGCTATATTGATGTCCAACAATGATTCGTCTAATAATGAATTAATATTGACATCTGCTGAAAACATTATTGAGCCGTGGTTGCCATTTGACACTCAAAAGGAATGTAAGTTGCAAGTTGAACTGGTTATATCAGATAAACCCATAAGTTCGGAGCCTGCCCCAGATGGTGTGTGTTCCGACCTTGAAACAGCATCTCCCGCTATGTCAGTATGCTCCTCTGTCAGTCGTCAAACTTTGCATGGAGATGGTGCGGTGGAGTTCTCTCATTGTGTATCTATTGCCAGTCAAGAGGACTGCACAACATTGCCGAGGGAACATTCTAAAGATACGAAGTCAAATAAAGCTGTCAGCTTGGATGAAAACTCATCCCAACTTGAAGCATTTATTCCTACAGAAGTTCCTGTTGATGGTCTTACAAAGGGCATTCTCAGGAGAAATCCACGAGGATGTAGAGGACTCTGCAATTGTCTGAATTGTGCTTCATTTCGTCTCCATGCAGATAGAGCATTTGAGTTCTCTAGAAATCAGATGCAAGATGCTGAGGAAATTGCTTTCAATTTGATTACAGAAGTATCATACCTTCGAAATATGTTGGAAAAATCTGCTGTTGATGCACATGATCATGCCATTGCCCATATAAATCAGGTAAGCAGGAACCAAAGATGCATTTTCCTGTTATTTATTGCTTTGCTGTGGCTGATTTGCATGCTGTGATTATAGTTGTTCTTTTGTTTCATTTGCCTACTTGATTGATATTTAAATTTGTGTGCATTGGTTGCTTTATGTTCTGCTCATGGCATACTATTGACAACTTTTGTTTATTCTCATAAAATGTAGACTGTCAATGCGGTTAATTGAAAGGGATTCAATAATCTTACAATTTTTTCTAATTTTGGTATTCTAAAGTGTTCATTGGTGCCATCCTCGAGAAGCTTCTTTGGGTCTATTGCAATGTTGATTCTATTATTTCTTTGGTTAGTCATTGGAAATGAGTATCTCAAGCTCACATAATTTCCATTTGTATTTGATTTTAGTTTTACTGATACCCATCTAGCTTAGATTTCGAAACGGAATGTTTTTACTATTATTTTTTATAATACTTGCATGCTGTAAAAAATACTAAACAGGTATTGTTGATGTCTAAACAAATTATCTGAACACTGCAGATGCTTCTTTGGTTCCACTTTTCCCTTACACTGAGTAAATCAACTTAATGCTATAGTTGTCACTAGAATAGGCTAGCCTATGAGTAGGTGAAATTGCCAGGATGAGCCTTTGTGAAAATACTTGCTGAAAGTCTGCTTGCTGAGAGTATGCCTATGTTATTGTTTATGTTTCTGCATCAAGGTAGATGATTAAGTGGTTTTGGCCCTAAGTTGATTTCTTTCCCTCACGAGTTTTTCCACATTTTTTACTGCTTTGAATGGAAACAGGCTTGTTTAAAGTGATGGAAGTGTTTTTTCCGTCATATTTTCTTTTCCACACATCTTTCCAAACCCAACCAAAGATAATTGAAATCTTCATGATATTTTGCTTCCTTTTCACTTATGTTTCCCAATTTCCATGAGAAATCTAAGAATTTCAGGCTGGGGCAGGGGAGGCTTGGTTAACAACTTTTCCTCAGGCTGAATTAAAAGCCATAAATCCCAGAAAGACAAACAAAAGATGTTGTTTCTTTGAAAGTTGAATTTGTCTATTATGGGAGATTTCCTGTTGTGAGTGACTCTACGCTGAAAAGCAAAAGTACATTCACGAATTTATTTGGATGTCTATGAAGTGTGACCTTGACTTATCGTCACCTTCACACAAGTTACTAAGCAATAAGCACTTCAAAAAAATAAATCACCAAATCACAGCCTTTTGGGTACACACCCTAAAAACTATGGAATATACAGTGGGCTAGTTTATCGTACAACAATTGCTTACGCAGTGCTAGAAAGGAAACTCTTATTCCACTCATTTCCGGGTCCTAGTCTGGTGTTTTGTTATGGCATTGTTTCTGGTTTGTTGGTATGTTCTGACATTTTCATTTGTTATAATATTCTCATTTCTCATATTCTTTGATGAGTGGCGTGATTTTCTTTGTTAACTCGCTAACTCAAATGTTTCCGTTTGCTTTTGGCAACTATTGTATGTATTGTAGCTGCCAGATACAATTTTCACTTCCATTAAGATCAGAATGTAATTAGTTATTCATGGGAAATTGAATGGAAGAAAACATTTCCCGAGACTGATAATTTACTCATAAAATCTTCAGAGTTATTTAATTTCCATAGTTTTGCATATAAAGGGGAAAAGACAACTATGCACACAAAAATCAAATTGACAACAGAGAGAAATGAGTAAAAACTTGACTTTCATTTATTTATTAATTTATTTTATTTACAGGAACAGCCTCTCCAAAAGTGGGGGTAAGGCTGCGAACATCTTGTCCTCCCTAGACCCTGCAATAGTGGGAGCTTCGTGCACTAGGTTGCCCTTATAACTTATTATTTATTTATTTATGTATGTCATTTATTTGTTTTTCCTTCAGGTGAAGGAAGCTTGCACAAAAGCTTTCAAGGTAGAAGAATTGGCAAAATGCCGCCTTAACCAAATGAATGATGATCTAAGTTTTCATTGCAGAAGCACGGTACGTGCTGTTACAAACTTTATTCAATCATTAACTGTTTCTCACCTGAAATTATTTTCTATTTATATTTTTCTGCTTATGGCATTTAATATTATAATCTTATTAAGCATACGATACACGGAGTTCATCTTAGTTTGTAACAGCTCTTGCAGCGACCGAGGGTAAAGTTTGCCGATTATGTTGAAGAAATAGTCATTCCCAATGGCAGACGCAGACTTGCTAAGCAGACCGTCGAAAAGAACAAGAAAGAAGACGGCAGAAGTTGATGAATGATTATAATCAATATGTGTGCATGTTGTGTGTAGATGTGAGGTGTATTTGAGCAATGGCTGGTCTTAATATCTTATTGCTCGAGGGATAATCCTGTCTGCACAAGTGGCTGCACATTAGGTAAAGGCCTTTCATGGAGGGCAGAGAAGAACGTGCTTCAGATCTTTAGAGAGAATAAAGTTGAATATCAACTTGTGTGAGTGGTGATGTTTGCATGCCAATTATTTGTGGAATTTTGTACCTACTTCCAGGTTTGATTATGAATTTTGAAATTCACTTGGGATTTTATATATCATATTGAACTAGTGAGTTATTATTCAAGTGTTTTATAGATTGAAACCATTAAAGAGACTTGAAAATTTTTATTTACAAATGGAATGGTAGGCAAAATAGACGATAATGGATGCATATATGTAGGACTAGTAGTGTTGGCACATGATATGTGTGCGCCAGTGAAATTATTAAATTGGCAATTACGAATTGAAACAGTTAAATAGGGTTAAAAACTGCTCCAAGCAGTGACAGTGAGCCAGTTTTGTCTACATCACTCTGGCTGTTTGCTTTATAATTAGTATAGAAGATAGATGGGAGCAGTAATCAGAAGATAAAACATAACTTCTAAATTTGGCAGAAAGCAACAGCCAAAGGTATGAGATGATCCATGATTGAATTGAATGACACTCATGTCACAAATGGAAGGGTTAATATAAAAAAAACTTTTGTCTAGGTAGCTGAGTCTCATTTTTATATTAATATTTTTCTTTTCTTTTCTTCCCTTTTTTATTTTATTTTATTTTTTGTGTTGGTGTTTTGGTTGTGTAGTAGTTATTCCATTGGCAGCTTAGCTTTTACTGTTTGAACTTTATCTTTTTTCTGTTCTGAAATTTTCAAACAAATGTTTGTTCTAAGTTGTGGATCCTCTATGCCTGATTACGTTTGTTTTTTATTTTGTTTTGTTTTGCCCCTTTTATTATTATTTTTTTTTAAATTCAAAATTAAACTACTGTATGAGTATGTTAAAAATCATTCTTCTTCTTCTTCTTCTTAATTTAATTTAATTTAATTTTTTCTTATGAAAGTGTGCTAAAAAACATTAGTTGCAATATTACTTTTAACAAAATGTAATTTCTAACCATGATTTAACATGGAATGGGAAATGAGTTTATCTGTACACTATTTGTTAAAAATTAAAAAAAGCAGTAATTATTTTAAAGACAGTTATGGATGGGAAATCAGTTGTTTAGTTATGGATGGGAAATCAGTTGTTTGGTGTATGCATTCTGCCTTGGCAGTGGCAATGACTGTCACATGGTGAAGATGCCGTATGCAGGTACGGCAGTAGTGTGTTGTAAATTATGACAAACGGTTGACCTAGTAAGTGCTATGGATGAACTGGTGAACTGGTTGTGGCATTTGAGCCATCACTAGGGCTTTTGTATAGAGCTAGGAAAGTGAAAATGTATATGGGATTGATGTGATTAATGAAGAGCTCTTCGTGAATCAGATGCAAATGACGAGAAGTAAAAAAGTCCTCTAGGTTTACATTGCCAACTTCCCAAATTGTACATCCCTCTTAGAAACAAACAAGATACAGAAAGAACTGGATTTATTTGATATATAATTTATAAAACAAAGTGGAACTTGAATACAAACAGAGCCAGAAAGAATTTTAACCATGGACTATATAGTACAAACTCCATTAACATTTGTTCAGAGGAACCTTCATTGCCTACACTCTGGAGGAAAGCCTTGAGGGAAGCGTTTAAAATCCGTGCAGTAATTGTAAATCATGAAATATTTCTGAACCCATCTTAGTCTTCTTCGGCTATAGGCATCAAGTTCTTGACTCTGCCATGCTCCACTCGAAAATGAAGTGGTAGAGGAAGTGCACGTCCCGGAACAGGTTTGGACATTGAAATTCCGGTAGTTTGCTGTGAATGGAGCTTTTGTCCAATCGGTTTTCACTAATCCTCCTCTTGTGGCCCAATCATCAGCATTCCAAAGGCTAGAGTAGATCCTCATGGGTTGGTTTTTGGGGAAAGGGACGCCGATTGATTCACCATTCTTGAATACTCTTATGGGAGTGTCATCCACCAAGAAACTGAGAAGAGAAGCAAAGTAAAAATCATGTTAGAAAAATGATTAAGGATATAAACTGGTTTCCAGTGTTTAAGTAAGTTGTTTTTGTATTTTGTTGCAGTGATTTAGCAGCACTTATTTCATTAAAGTAAATTCTTTGGAAAATAGAAATTTGGAGTTTCTCTTCTTACATGATATGGTGGGGGATCCATATGATGGAGTAAGTGTGGAAATTTTTGGTGGGATCAAACCAGAGATAGAATTGTTGCTCTCTGTTGCCTTTGCCTTGAGTGAAGACATTGGTGTGGAGTATATAAGGATCACCACTGAGGTTTCCCAAGAACTCAAAATCAATCTCATCATGTGATGGCCCTTCAGAAGACAACTGCAATATACACACAATAACCAATTTAATTATTCAAATTAAAAGGGAAAAAATGGGTATATATACTTGTACATAATTATTGTCTAAACAATTATGTGAAAAGTTCACTTTCTAAACTCATTTTTAAAATGTGTAAAACAGATAATTGATTGATGATTAGATAAGATATAAGAAATTGTGAGTTATCTTGTATATACTAACAAACTATCATCATTGAATTTGAAAAACGGGTTTTAATTTTTGAGTTAGAGTATTATTGCTCAATTAATAATTGAGAAATGATATATATTACCAATTTTTTGTACACCATTTTATATCAACTCCTATAGGAATTAGTTTCTTTGTTGGGTGATAATTATTAAAGCAATAATAAAAAAATAGATAAATAAAACATATAAAAATAGGAATTGATAAAGTATTTATTATTATGCATTTGAGTGTATGTATTGAAAGGATATAATATTATTGAAATAGAGTGATGTTTGTCTACATTTTGTGTTATGGAATTGTGTCATTTTTACTTTAGCATTTATTACTAACCAGCTCCACTATGCGAACTTTTATTCAGTTCATGTTGTATTAACGTCTATTTTGTCAAAATCTTTGAGTGTAGCCACTCACATGTCATTTTTACCCAGCATTAAAACACATTACAGAACTAAAAATGAAAAAATAAAAGTAGTTTAGAAACATACATAGTAGGTAGTGACAGTGCCAGCGGAGTTGCCAGCAACAAGTTTCAGCTGCATGTCAATCCTCCCAAACAAGTACTCTTTCTTGGATCGAAATCCAGAGCCAGAGGTCTTGTCTAGTGAGAGAGACAGAAGCTGACCTCCATTGAACATCTTGGCTCGTTGATCACCCCATGTTATGTCACAGTCTTGGTAAAAGTTGCCACCATGGGTAACCATCAAAGAGCTCATCATCATTACACTAACCAACAATACCATGCACAACGCATTATTCGAAAAGGCCATTTTAGAGAGAGAGAGAGAGAGAGAGAGAGAGTTTGATGAATATTGTGTTGAGTGTTTTGTGGGTAATATAGAAGAGAGGTGTGTGTATATATAGGGGGAGGGGTGGAGATGAACCATAAAAGGAAGATGAGGATGCTTGTGAGAGAGAGAGAGAAAGAGATGTGAGACGCGGGGGCTCCGAGGCCGGTGCCAGCTGAGCAATACAATGAAAGCTGGAACACTTCTGTTTGTTTAGGCATTCAATTGTTTTGGATTTTTGGATTTTCTTTTGGTTTAAGAGGCGCTTAGACTGTTTGGTGCAGTTTATGAATTAATTATTTTTATTATTATGTGGCAGTGGACGGACCTACTGTTTGTGTCTTGTTTTTTTTGTTTTTTTTTTTATTTAAAGTGCTTGCCAACTCATTAGTGGTGCTTTAGAGCACCACTTTTAGTGGGATGTATCATTACCCTTTTTACTATAATGGGGCTGTTTGTTATAGATTTTAAGAAGTGATAATAATTTGTTTTAATTTGAGAGTCTATTAGATTGTTTTGTGCAATTTCTGCTTATAACTTATTAGGTAGATATAACTTAAATAAGTTAAAAAAAACTATTTATTTAAAAACTGGAGAGCGGATACTTTTATCTTCTGCTTTCTAATTATTAAATTTTAATTTTTTTAAAAAAAACTCTATCAAACAGCGCCAATGTTTGATATAATTTTCATTTATATTTTATAAGATAGAAATAATGTAAATAAATTTTAAAAATTAATTACTAAGAAACGGGGAGCAATTTTAATTTTTACTTTTTGATTATCAATCTTACCTTATTAAAAACAGAACCAAACAAAGTCGAATGATAATGTTGATGGTTGTTGGCATGGCCACCATTTTGCTATGATTGGTTTCGACCAGTGGGTGGATGACAACTGGGTGATACACACCATCCCCTACACTTCTCATTCATGAGTTTTGAACTCGTTTTCAAAAAGTGTTTTGAAACTTCATTTCAAGTGCATTTTTTCTATTTTCCTTTTTTGTTTTCTTATTTATTTATATTTTTTAACTTTTTATTTTTTGTTTTTATAACGATAGTATAAGAAATTTTGTCCTAACTAGTCTGTAACAACTTGCAACCTCTCGTACTAAACATAAATGATAATTTTCAACCACATGCACTAAGGTAATCCGAAAGAATTAAGCAATTCATGAAACTTAACTTATAATTTACATACAATTTGCAAGATATTTATCATGGCTTGACTTGCCGATCGATGAATCCATTTTTTTTTTTTTCAGTGTTAGACTATAATTTGTGTAGAATTAGGGAGTCCGATCATTTCCTAAACCTAAAGCACATTATGTTATTGGAAGTATTATTCATAGAGCTTTAAACAATGATCAATGATTAATTCAAGATGCAAATCAAAATTAAGTGGAAAATAAACAAATATATATCAGCCATCATAGCAACGACCCTTTTTTCCTAGAACAATGGTTACAATGCAGAGTAGGGGCAAAGTGGGTGTTACCCATTCCTCTGTTTTTTTTTCTTCAGTGAGTATTTTGACATAGAAACTATGAAATAGGATTCTGCAGATATTATGGAGGAAGAACAATCCACATTTTGGATTGGAGAGTGCTGTTTGGGTCTATAAGACCTACCATGTGTCCTATTTCGATGATCTGAACCATTAATTTTGTTGGGTATTTTGTATATTCTATTCACAAAAATAATTAGATCGATCCGATAACTATAATTTGTTCAATTTATTACGTTTTTCATTAAAAAAATGTGTAGTTTATTTTAAAAAATACAATTATTGTTTATTTTTTTAGTGAAAAATTGAATAAGTTACAGTTATCGGATCGACGTAATTTTATATGTGGATGAAAGACATGAAATGCCCAACATAACGAACGGTTTGAATTATCAAAACGAAATCCGTGATGAGTCTCACGGGCTCAAACAACACCCTCTAATCTAGATTTTGGACCGGAGGGGATCCTCCTCCTTTTGTTTTGGGCTCTTGCAAATTTTTAATGAAAAATAATTTTTGTTGTTAGATGGATTTTCATTGTTTGATTTAGTATGTGCATTCATAAAATAAAACGTATGTATATATGTATGTTTTATCATATTTAAAAAGTAATTGAACTTTTATGACATATGAGAAACTACATAACAAATGAAGAGTTATAATGAAATATTTTGAGAAAAAACTAGAAAGATGAAAATTTATCTGAAAATAAAATGTGTGAATTCAAATTTAAAGTGATGTGAGTTATATTTAAAATAAATTTAATTTATACACGTCATTTTATAACAACTATTTAAATAATTTTTTGAATTGGTCTATACATTTTATTATCGGTAAAATTTTTCAAAAACTATTTTTATTATGTGCGTAATTACTTCTAAAAGAAATAGTTGTACGGAGTCATATTGATATTAATTATGTGCATGGTTGCCTTATTTTTGTAATTATGTGTATAATTATTATTGGGATAAATTACATTGAACTCTGTTGACATTTAGAGAAAATATGGCAAGTTTCACAGTTTTAACATAATTATATTTGTCTTCATTTTAGTAAGGTTAAAGCTACTAAAATTAATACAGATGATATGAAAATATACAGATATATAAAGTAAAAAATATATATTTCTATGTAAAAAAGATGATAATATGTATATATATTTATTCATATGACTAGCAAATTTCTGATGAAAAATAGGTCAAGTTTTACATGAATTAAAACCTTAAGAAAGCATAGTATAATTATGTCAAACTTGTGAAATTTATTATATTTTTTCCAAACTTAAACGAGGTCAGTGTAATTTACCCTTATTATTATTATTATTATTATTATTATTATTTATGAATCGATAATAGATTAATTACAAATATTAGCAATTACTAAACCCAACAATCACAATCGTAAATAGTCTAATTTCATAAGAATTAAACAATTTCATACAACTTTATAATGGGAGAAAAATAAACAATCTAAGTAATATTTAACACTTCACCGTTGGATTTGAACCACAATTTCATACCACAAAGTGGTACAACATAACTATTAGGTCAGAAGCCCTCATTAATAATGTATATAATAATGTGTAATTAATTTCAAGCAGTATTTTTGTATTTTTGACTTGAATTTGACTTTTGACTTTCTTAGAGGCGAACGTTTCTCACTCTCCATTAATTTAGATAGATTTGTATAGATTTTTTTAATTAAATAACGGTCAAATTTATAGAAGGTGACTCTGCGCATTACTAATGTACATAGCTTAAGTTATTATATGTAAATGGTCTAAAAATAAGGCGATAAAGAGAATTTTGTCCTAGTTACAATGACCAAACACAGCTAGACAGACACAAGCCAAACTGGAATCAAACAAACAAAACTTGTTCCAAACAATTAGGATTATGGGATTTGGGATGGGTGCTACCCTGTAAAAAGTATAACACTATATTGTGAGTATTTGAAAGCACGTCTCAAATTTATTTTAATAATTTGAACTGTTTATAATGTAGGATTTGTTAAAAATCATCTATAAAAAAATTTAAGTTAATTAGATATTTGTAACTCACAACATGATCACGTTTTCGGTCAAATTTATAGAAGGTGACTCTGCGCATTACTAATGTACATAGCTTAAGTTATTATATGTAAATGGTCTAAAAATAAGGCGATAAAGAGAATTTTGTCCTAGTTACAATGACCAAACACAGCTAGACAGACACAAGCCAAACTGGAATCAAACAAACAAAACTTGTTCCAAACAATTAGGATTATGGGATTTGGGATGGATGAGTCTTCGAAAGCATGTTTCAAATTTATTTTAATAATTTAAACTGTTCATAATATAGAGTTTGTTGAAGATCATCTATAAAAAAAATTTAAGTTAATTAGATATTTATAACTCACAACATGATCACGTTTTTGTTTAAAAAAAATAAACGGTTAACATGATTTTAAGAATTTTTTAAAGTTATTATACAATTTGATTATGGGATTATACTTATCTAATTGAATTCATTTTTTTTTTTAATATATAAATGAGATACTTAACATCCCCTATAATATAAACCATTCAATTATCAAAATATAATCTAAATAAACCATACAAAATCTGTAGCCACCACAAATCCTAAGGTTATGAGTGTTTTGTTTGGTAATGTTTTAATTTGTGGTTGCAATAATTTGCTACTATTGGAGCATCACTCTCTTGGCAACCACCCCAAAGATTAGGGCATCGCAAGTAGGACAGCGGGCCATCACCATAAATATTGTGTGGGTGGCCATGGCCCGGTGGAGTTTATGCCACCAACCAAGTCGGCTGCGGGCTATCACCGTAATTTGTTAATTAGATTAGTAAAGAAAATTTCATAAATGCAACGTGTCAAAAAAAAATTAGAAAAATTAAGATTAAATTTAAATAAATTATCAACTGAATGTGTTGGCAGTTCTTTTATCTCAATAAAGACTTTCACAATTGTCAAGTGTAGAAAAAAATAAATAGCGAAGAAGAAGAGAAGAAAATGAATAAGATGGGCTTTTGATAAAACTCTCTTTAGAATGAACTATATTTTGTATTGAATTTTTCTCACTAATTGATTCATATATTTTGCCCAAAGGCTTACATCCTTTTATATAAAGAAGGTTATACATAAGTTCAATGGATAAGATCCATGAATTTAAATAACCTTACAATTAACCAGGTACATGAATATAATCTAGACAATGTACTTAATAAATATAAAATACATGCATACAAAGAATGTATGAACTCAATGTATCCAATACATGCAATGTATCCAATATATCTAATGTAAATATGGCATTAACTTTAACACTCCCCCTTAATGCCATATTGTGTGACACCCAACATTTCTCTAAAAAATTCAAACTTGTCCCTTGGTAGAGCTTTGGTGAAGATGTCCGCAACTTGATCTTCAGTCTTGCAATACTTGATTCGAATCTCATCATCTTCCATAGCTTCTCTAATGAAATGATGTTTGATAGCAATGTGTTTGGTACGAGAATGGTAGACGGGATTCTTTGTCATAGCAATAGCGGACTTGTTATCACACATAATTGGAGTAGCTTCACCTTGCTTCTCACCAAAATCATCCAAAATTCTTCTTAGCCAAATTGCTTGTGTAGTTGCCAATGA